GACTTTAAAATAATTCTTTAAAATGTTAAGCATCTACTTGAAGTCTATGTTCTGTTGGTCATCCATTACTATTGTTTGGTGCCTACAGTCTCACCTGTACCAACAAGTACACTTTATTAATTTCAAGTTTTTTCCATGTATACACACACTTTTCATTTCCTTTCCCTCAATAATTTAAAATTTTCAATTAAGAACAACTCAAAACAAGAGTTAACAATTTACAAATTATAGGTGGTTAAACATAATTGACTCAGAATATTATTTAGTATTTTGATTATAACTAGAGTTATAGAATTTGATTTTATATGTAGCTTTTTAAAAAAAAATCTAAAACATAGATCTATAAGTTTTATGAAGATGACTAAATCTAGTTTTGTCATCTACATGACTAAATGCAAAAATTATAATAGAACGAAATTATTCTCTTAATTTTGGTTTAGACCCTTCTTTAGTTTTTATCCTAGATTTAGCTTTGTTGTTCTAATTTAAGCAAGTTCATTTGAGTTCAAAAAGTAACATTCATGTTTATAACTTTTATAAATGAAACTATCTCAAATTCTATCATTTTATGATATTAATCTTAGTTAAGAAACCTAGAGACAAGTTGTACAATTTTTTATTTCTAAGTTTAACTAGTATCTACTTATTTTCCAAGCATTTTCCATTATTTTTAGTAACTATAACATATAATCCTTCATATATCATCATTTAATATAATTGTAAACCCATTAACCTCGTCAAATCCTTTCTTTAAAATGAAAACTCTCTACTAACCCATTTTCATCCCATGTATTTTCCATTATTTTCAGTAACCATAACATATAATACCGTCATATATCATTATTTAACATAATTTTAAACCCATTAACCTCATCAAATCCTTTTTCTAAAATGAAAACTCTCTACTAATCTTTTTTTCATTCATCACTTATATCAAATATCGTTATTCTATAATAAAAAATAATTCTGTATTAAACTTCATAAACCATAAATCTATGTCAAATACTCTAGCAACTCAATCATTCAAGAAAAACACACAAAACAAGGTTTTTATATTTTTATTGTGGTTTTCTTGGTTTTTTTGTAAGATTTTTAGCTTACTCTCTTCTCTCTTTTTTCTTCTCTTATAACTGGCCAACTCCAGGAATATCTAGAGAATTCTTCTCTATTTATAGATATATTTTTTTTATTTCGTCTTGCCTCCTTTTACTTATTTTATTTGCATATTATACCCTTATGTATTTTTAATTTCTATATCAACCCTTCATATTTTCTTTTATTTTTACATTGACCCCATCATTTCTTTTATTTATACATTGGCCCAATATTTCTCTTATTTATGCATTCACCTCATTAATACCTTTGTTTTTTTTTTTCCATCTCTCTCGTTAAGACTACCATTTAACTTAATTAATTTTTTCAATTTAACCATTCCACTAATCAATTACATTGTTGATATTTAGTAACTTTGAAACTTTTCATTTAAGAGTTAACACTGAGATTTCCAACTAAAAGTGTATTTTATTTTGATAGAAAATAATTTCTCTAATCATATTTACCACTTTAATTTACTACTTTAATTCTTCTTCTTTTTTTTCATTTTACTATTTTAATTTCAATATAAGATTTTTATCTGAGGGTTTATAAATAAGAATTTAAGTTAATGATTGATTGATTAAGTTCTATTCAAAATAAATGTCTTTGATAGTTATTATTAGGGAATTTTGTTGTATACTTAAAAGTTCTAACATATATAATTGTTAGAAGAAGGCGAGTGGGAATTATAAATTGTTCTAAGATTCCTATTGTAGAATATTTATCTACCGTAGATAATTTGTATAAGAATATGATTTTTACTTTACATGAAACTCAATTTCTGTAACATTATAAATAAGGTGTATAATAGCTGGAAACTAATTTCTTTAAAAGCTTTTTGCAATTTATTGCAATTTATAGATTTTGTTTTCACAAAACTCTTAATATATATATATAGTTTTCTTTTCATTTTTACTTAGCATATAGATTCCTTGACATTACCCTTTTACCTTTTATTCTTTTAAAATTGAAATGAATTAAATTAAAGGTGCACACATTTTGTATTCTTGTTTTCAATTTAAATTCTTAATTAGTATTGATATATTTTAAAATTGTATTACATAATTTAAATTTTTTATTAGTAAAACGTTTACTGAAAAATAATTCGGATGTAAATGCTATATAATTTAACTTTTTAGATATCATCACATTTTTAAAATAATTATTTTTTTTAAAGAATTAGAATTCTTTTTTTTTTTATGACCTTGGTGTTAAAATTATGACTTAAGCTTACAACTAGTTGAAAAACAATAGGTAAAAATCTTGATTTAAAGTTTTGGGATAAAATATTTTCTTACTTTCTCTTTTTCTTGTAGAATTATTATTCTTTTAATTTTTTTAATTTGATAAAATAATTATTTTTGGTGTATCTTTTTAAGATTTGAAAAAGTCTACAACAAAGTGGATATCGCAATATGTCAAACCGCTATGTTTGAGTTACATCTCAAATCTTGAATATTCAAGACTAAAAAAATTCTATTTCCAGAACAATTACATGAATTATTCATATATAGACTAATGATCTTCTTACGCAGATGTACAAAAAGTCTTTTAAAAAACCTATCATACTTATCATTTCATTAATAATATTTATTTTTTATTAGTGTCACTTAAAATAATAGACTTTTTAATTTTTTTCTAAAAATGACAAGGTTTAACGGGTATAAATACCTCTTGAACCTGCTATGTAAAGGTTTAGAATATTTTTATTTCTTAAAAGCTTACATATATTTTAGAGTATTAATTACCTTAAAAAACAAGAGCAAACATCATTTATTCTTATAATTCAAAGCTCTTTTAAATTATTATATATTATTTTTTATAAAAATACTAATTTTATCATTTAATAGCCTTTAAGTTCTTTCAATTAATACTGCATTACATTTGCTTAAAGTTTACCATTAATTTAGTGCTTTTTAAACTAAAAAAAATATTTATCTAAATATCTAAATAACATTAAGTAATATTCTAAAAGGCATTGGGAAAGCACTGTAGCTTCTCACGCCTTTCACTTATTAATATATTATATTATTATAATTATTATATTATATTATACAACTGTTTTTTTCTTCTTTTTCTTTGTTTTTAATGAGTTTTTTTATTTAGTTTGTTAATATTAAATTTTTTTATTTAGTTATTAGACTTTCATGATATGAATCCCGAGTTTGATGGGTTAACCTAGTTTGACGAGTTAACTCGAATTTTTTTCTTTTTAATTAATTTTTTCATTTAGTTTAGTTTGTTAATATTAAATTTTTTTCTATTTAATTATCAGACTTTCATGACACGTATTTTGGGCTTGACGGGTTAACTTGGTTTGATGAGTTACCCAATTAATTCTGGGTAAACCCGTCAATTTTTTTTTCTATTTAGTTATCAAACTTTTATGATACGACTCCCAGGTTTTACGGGTTAACCCAATTAATTCAATTTTTTTTCTTTCTCTTCATTAGCTTTTTCCTTCCTATTGGTTTGTTGCTTTGTTTTTTTTTAATTAATCTATTTAATTATCACACTTTTATTACACAATCTTATAGTCAGATCCACATTCAATATTCTTGGGTCCAATGTTGCAGCCAGACTCGCTTAAACTTGGATCATGCAAATTTAATGTTATTATAAATATTACTCTTGGGTCAAGCGTTGCAGTTAGACCAAAGACTCTTGGATATATTTTTGCAGAAATACATAACACTCTTAGATATTGACATTTTTTAATATTTTTTATGCAAGAAAAAAAATAACCCGTGGTGTATGCCTTTATTTTGTTTTTTTCTTTTCTTTTCCTTTTTAAGTCTTTTACTGTGGATTGCACAGTGCAATCCATAGTGAAAAAGCTGATGCCTTTAGTTTTTTTTTGTTTTTTTTTGTTTTGTAATTATTTTTTTAATTTAGTTTCTTAATATTAAATTTTTTCTGTTTAATTATTAGACTTTCATGACACGGATCTCAGGTTTGACCGCTTAACCCGATTGATTCAGATTTTTTTCTTTTTTCACATTACTTTTGTTTTTTTGATTTTCTTTTTTAATATTGTATGCAGTTCACGGTGAAAAAGCTGATGCCTTTAGTTTTTTTTTCTTTTTATGTCTTTCACTATGGACTGCACAGTACAATCCACGGTGAAAGGGCTTATGCTTTTTTTTCTTTTTAATTAACTTTTTTTTATTTAGTTTGTTGATATTAAATTTTTTTCTATTTAGTTATCATATTTTTATGACACGGATCTCAAGTTTGACGGGTTAACCCAGTTAATTAAGATTGTTTTTCTTTTTTTTCATTAGTTTTTTTCTTCATGTTGGTTTTTTTCTTTGTTTTTTTTTATTAATCTATTTAAGTACCATACTTTTATGACATAACTTTGCAGCCAGACCCATATTCAAGACTATTGGGTTTGGTATTGTAGCTAGATCTACTTAAACTTGGGTTTTTCAAGTTTAATGTTATTATAAATATTACTTTTAGGTCCAGCATTGTAGTTAAACTTAAAACTCTTATATATAACTTTATAAAAAAACCTAATATTTTTAAGGCATTGTAGTCAAACTTAAAATTCTTATATATAACTTTATAGAAAAACCTAATATTTTTAAATCTTAATATTTTTTAATATTTTTTATGTAAAAAAATTAACCCACATCAATTGATTTAATTAGTAATATACTAACATTGTGGGTTATCGTAAATCATTACAAATGGCACATGGCGAGAAAGGCATATAGGATATATTGTTAATTTTTAATATGTGATTAAAGCTTATGATTTAAGTGGTTGGAAAATAATATAAGTTGATTGCTTTCAAATGATTAGCTCTGAAAAGTCCTGTACGCATGGCTAGTCTACGTATCAAAACCAGACAACTTACCACGTCCATTTTACCAGCGTTTATAGAAGATAGATCGATAACAAGGTAGATTAACTAGACCGGTTCCTTGTGAGTTTTCCGGGTCTGCTAGCGAAGCAGAGTCGGGTTCGAGCAGCCCGGAACCCCCGTTGTGAAAAGAAAAGAGAACTCGCCGCCTGGTTGTTAAATCAGGGGAAAAAAAGAAAAAAGACTGAAGTCGTCGAAAACGTAGCCGTTTCAGAGGAAGAAACAAAGAATACAAAGCAGGAGAAGGAAGGGGTCTGCAAAGTGAAAAATAGACGAGAATCCACCTTAATAAGCTTTGTATGTGGTCTCTCTCTACACTTTGCAATAGTTAGCTGCTCCACCGCTCCCCTCTGCTCCACCGCCTCACTGCTTCTGTTACGAACGAACAAACTAAAAACTGTTTAATTCTTCTCTCTTTAGGTAGGCGCTCTTTCCTTTTCTTATACACAAATAAAACAGCTGTCTGTTTTCTGTTCAATTTCAATGGGGAATGAAAGATTCGTAGATATCACTGGGAATTACTATTGCTGTCGGTAATTCGATGTTTTTAATTTATTAAATTCGATTAATATTGAAATATTAGATTTCTTTTCAGTTTCAATTTGGGTACTTTTTAATTAGAAGTAATAGTAATAATCTCCAGCTCACTGTTTTTTTACTATGATGTGTAAATTTGGGTTTGGATTAGCTTAGCCTCTTTTTAGAAAATGAATTGGTGGTTCAATCTACTGTTTTTGTTGTGGATTTAGTTAAGTTTCGAGTCAGCTTGTTAAAGCATAGGCCATCTTTATTTATTTTTGTGCTTATGGTACTGCATCTAGGAATCTAGTCAATGTGCTATTGTGGATTGCATTGACAATATCATTTTTGGTTTTTGAATGAAAACTGTAAATTCTATCCCGATATTAATGTGGTATGCATGCCAGTACAGACCCTAGTTGGACTCTAATGGTTGTTCAGGCACCTCCAAAGCCAATTCTCAATAATTTTAATGACGACGACGACGACGACGGGCCCATAGTTTTCAAGAGAGGTGGTAACTCAACCTCTAAGCAAAATCAACCAAACCTTGAAGCAAAGAAACCATCTTCATCTTCTCAGAATTCCAATGGTCAAAGCTTGAATGCCTGTGAAGGCAAATCACCCATTTCATCTTCCAATGCATCCCCTGTGAAATCTCCTATAGGGAGCCCTAAAGCATCAGCTTCATCTGCCAAGGTATCCCCAATGAAGCCACCAGTGACATATTCTAGAGTGCCAAGTTCTTCAATTGATCAGTCGAAGCAGGTATCTAAACAGGTTGTCTCAAATGCTGTCAAGGAGGAGACCAAACCGATTGTGGATGATGATGATTCTGAGGATGATAAGCCCTTGAGTTCTAGATTTAAGGGGAGCACAAACAATGCCAACAAAGGGGTTACTGTACCTGCTTGTGTCAAGGATGAACATTCAGATGATGATGAAGTCCCTTTATCCTCGAGGTTTGCAGCAAAGTCAAATGCAGGGTCATCAAGCTGTAAGACTCTCAGTTCTAGTGAGAAGAAATTGTTCGTTTCAAAAATTCAGCTAAATGGTTCTACTGCAAAGGACAAGCAACAAAAATCTTCTGCTGTGCCAACTAAGAGACCTATGGATAATAAGGTTCCTTCAAACCAGTCTTTTGCTAAAAAACCAAAACTTTCAGATTTGTCTACAACGAAGCAAGTTACTGTCAAGGCTGAGCTGAAGGCAGATGATGATGACCACCTTACAATTTCCCAGAGAATGAAGAAAGCAAGCTCCTCATCTAACAAATCATTGTCTGTGAAGCAAAAGGTAACAAAAGTCGTTTCTCTGTCATTCAAGAAGACGACCAAGAATAACAAGAAACAAATGAAAAATTCAAAATATTCAAAGTCAACAAAATTACAACCTGGCTCCAGTGATGGGCAGAAAAAATGGACGACCTTGGTTCACAATGGTGTCATCTTCCCGCCTCCATACAAGCCTCATGGGGTTAAGATGCTTTACAAGGGGAAACCAGTTGATTTGACTCCTGAACAGGAGGAGGTGTGTTTCAATTAGTTTATGGTGCCTTACTATGTCATTTGTGTCCATGAGTTAATTTCTATCGCTTGCACCTGAATTTCTGTACATTGGAAGGTTTCAAATTTCTCCCTATATGTTTGGTGCTAGCTGCATTTAAACTTTGATCTTTTAACCACAGGTTGCAACCATGTTTGCGGTGATGAAAGATACAGAATATGTTCAAAAACCACAATTCCTTCAAAACTTTTGGAATGATTGGCGTACATTACTTGGGAAGAATCATGTAATACAGAAGTTAGAGGCCTGTGATTTCAACCCTATATATGAATGGCATCAGAAAGAAAAGGAGAAGAAGAAACAAATGAGTACTGAAGTAAGTTGGTAGATGTACGGCCTTCTGTGTGATTGAGATACAAAGCATTAGTATGTTGTGAAAGTGAGCAATTACCATCAATTGCACATAACTTTGAACTTGAATGCCAACTCAAATGCTTGATATATGTTGTTGGAGTGTTGCTATTGTTGTGTAAAATTGTAGAAGTACACCCATTCCTTTGTTCTCTGCCAAAGAGCCTTATGGAATCTTTTCATCCTCTATCTGTAATGAAGCAGTAACTGTGGCAGTTTCAATTGCTTCATGGAAATAACCCGCACTAAAATATGCCATCCTGCTTCTTATTGATCTCTAGTGTCTTTAGAGATTAATTTTGCTTGTTTGTAATCCCTCTTTAGACTTGTGAAAAAAACATAATCCCCCTTTCTAATGTATCATCATTTCAGTTTCACATGTGACCAAAGGTAGCTTTTCAGTGTAGAATCCCAGTACTTCTGCCATATTCTTTGAGAATAAGCTTTACGTATTGTCATTCTCTTTGATTATCAGTGTTGTCTGTCCATGTAGGAGAAGAAGGCTATGAGAGAAGAGAAATTGAAGCAAGAGGAGAAGTATATGTGGGCGATTGTTAATGGGGTTAAAGAGAAGGTAAGTATCTGTGGATCAAGTGTTTTTATTAGCATTATAAGGGAAATGGTATTTCTAGTGAACATTTGTATGCAAAAGAGTGTGCGTGCCCTTGTGCGCATGCAGGTTTCTGCTTCTATGGCATACATTCTAATCAATAATGTCTTCCTTATTGCTGATTTTATTATTTGAACTCTGTGCATTTTGTTTTCTTAATGGACTTCTCATCTCCTGCATTTAACTGTGCCAATTCTGATGATTATCTCAATCTCAGGTTGGGAATTTTAGAGTTGAACCACCTGGTCTATTTCGAGGACGGGGAGAGCATCCAAAGGTTCCTGTGACATCTTTCTAACCTTTAACTGAGATATAGAGCTTTCAGCTTTGACTAAATTTTATTTTGATGTTCATGATGGCGAATGACTAAATTTCCTCTACCTCATTTTTTCCCTTTGACTGACTGTTGGTATTTACCAGATGGGAAAGCTGAAAAGCCGTATTCGTCCCAGTGACATTACTATAAATATTGGAAAGGATGCCCCAATCCCAAAATGTCCTATTCCTGGTGAAAGGTTTGAGTGCATACAGTCTCTTTCAAATTGGGGAAATAGAAGGGAGACACTACTTTAGCTTCTGTTGATAACTAAGTATTGTTTGGATTAGCTGAAAATTGTGAGAATTTTGGCTTGGCAGTTGGAAAGAAGTGAAGCATGATAACACTGTTACATGGTTGGCATTCTGGAATGATCCCATCAATCCAAAAGAATTCAAATATGTATTCTTGGCTGCCAGCAGTTCCTTGAAGGGGCAAAGTGACAAGGAGAAATATGAAAAAGCAAGGAAGTTGAAGGTATTGATCTATGAGCTTCTGGTTGTTGTAACCTGTCACATGATTGAGGAGCTTGCCTTTAGCTTCTGTATTTTGAGTGCAGGACTATATACACAACATCAGAACAGCTTACACAAAGGATTTTGCAAGTAAAGATATTACCAAGCGGCAAATAGCAGTGGCAACCTATCTTATTGATAAACTAGCTCTTAGGGCGGGTAATGAGAAGGTATAACAACTGGCTAAACAAGCTTCTTGAGCCCTTGGCAGTTGATTTGGGCCTTTTAGATTGGATATAGCACATTTTTATTTGGAGAATGTTTTATTGCCTTGTGATTGGAGTCTTATTTCACAGATGAGGATATAATTATTGAAGACAAATAAGGCTTTTACTCGCAGAATGAACCTGGTGCTTTAAATTTACCAGTTAATCTGAGCCTTCGGGTATCAATATGGTTTTAGAAAGCCAAATGATAAGAATGGATTCAGACCTTAAATTAGTTTGACTTTGCTCATGTCACTTGCTCAGTTTATCAAGAATTGTATCCTTCAGATTTACATGCCACTTTTGCTTTTCAAAATACCTTGGATCTTTCTTATCTTCCCCTTTCTCTGTGGAAACTCAATCTTGAATAAATTATGTGCCTGTCTTTGGACAACAATGTAGGTTTATTTCTGTCAAGAGGTTTTCCAAGGTGAAGTTGAATAAACAGATATTTTTTGGATTTTTGTTAACAACACAGTAATGGAAACATGTTATCAGATTGTAGAAATTTAAAATTGCATTTGATTCTGAGGAAATGTTACCAAAAGTCATACCTCTTCCTAGGATAATTGAAGCTCATTGGATGTTTTCCATAGACCTAATCGCCTGAATAGCATATTCAGTATGTGTTCTATTTTACTTTTAGAACTTAGCAAGTGTTTCTGAGACATTTTGTTATGCTGGTTTGTGTTTGCTTGTTACCATGTTTCTTTAGCAGTATTGAGGATTTCCTGTGGCAATTAGCTATATGGATCTTATATACACTTCAAGTGAGAATGTTATCACATTTCCGTCATTCTGTAATTGGGAACCTGCAGGATGATGATGAAGCTGATACTGTTGGTTGCTGCACATTAAAAGTAGCAAATGTTGAGTGCATCCCTCCGAATAAGTTGAAGGTATGATTGTTTTTATGTTTGTTAACCATAGTTTTTAAGTGTAGTGTCTCTTTACTTGGTAGCTGCAGCAGTGGGCCTAATTTTGGAAGTGTACAAGTGAAACAACATACTTTGAGTTACCTAAATATGATTTGCTATATGCATATAACAGTGAATTACTAGTAGTAACACTTGCTTCTGCGTGATTGTTCAGTTTGACTTCCTTGGTAAAGATTCAATTCGATATGAAAACACAGTTGAGGTTGAGCTTCCTGTGTACAAGGCAATTAGACAGTTTCAAGTTGGTGAGTAAATGGCTGTTAAGATTATGTTACTAAAGGTAATTATCTTATGTGAGGGCTGATGAGCAATTTTTTCTTCTTCAGCGAAAAAGCCAACTGATGATCTTTTTAACTCTCTGGATACATCTAAACTAAATGCTCACCTAAAAGAACTCATGCCTGGCCTTACAGCAAAAGTTTTTCGTACATACAATGCATCTATCACATTGGATGAAAAGGTAAATTGCAAACTGGGGTCAATTACTACATTGAAGTTTTTCCTGTGGGCCACTTGGAAGTTTGTGAATTTGTGTGTTCCTGGGGTTATGTTTGGTCTGATAACAGTTATATGAGGAAACAGAAGATGGTGACGTTGCTGAAAAAATTGTCATTTATAACCAAGCAAACAAACAGGTGAAGCCAGTTTGTTGCAAGAAAATTTCATTGAATATTTGGTTGCAATATTTAGCTGCATCTCTTGCACCTATAATATTGGCTTCTTGTTCATCTGCAGGTTGCAATCATTTGTAATCATCAACGTACTATTTCAAAATCTCATGATGCACAAATGTCAAGATTGACCGAGAAACTTGAGGAACTTAAGGTAATTAATTTTAGAACTCAACAAGAATTTCAGGCCCTCATTTTTGAGAAATTTGGGGAAAATCTGCCATGAGGACTTCCTGGCATGTTGGAGACTTTGCCCATTTCTGGCTGCTTGTTTTGTGTATATTGCAAGCCAGCTATCTTCAGCGTATTGTTGCCCTTTGCATATTGGAAACTTTGCCCATTCCTGGATGCTTGTGTTTGTGGAGTCCATGCTTTGAGCTGATTCATCATTTTGCTTGCAGGGCGCACTGAAGGAGTTCAAAACTGATCTGGACAGGGCCAAAAGGGGGAAGCCCCCATTGAAGGATGCAGATGGAAAGCAAAAGAGGAACTTGACTCCTGAAGCGTAATACAACTTGTGCCCTTTTGCTCAAGTGTTTTGTGCATGTTTTGATGGTTCATTTTGATTTGCTGAATTGATTTGCAGCATAGAGAAGAAGATAGCAACAACCAATCAAAAGATTGAGAAAATGGAACTGTCCATGAAGACCAAAGAGGATCTGAAAACGGTAGCATTGGGCACGTCCAAAATTAATTACCTTGATCCTAGGATTACAGTTGCATGGTGCAAGCGGCATGAAGTTCCTATTGAGAAGGTGAACCGCTTCTAAAATTATTTTTGAGGAATTAGCTCAACTTATCCTTATTTTTTAAGTCGTCTCCGAGGTATCCTTACTAATCTAATTGCTTTCTATCTAGCATTATATTTTAGGCGGCCATTCAAATGGATATCTTTATGCAAACTGATACAAATACCCTCATTTGAGAACTCGAACCCTATCTAATTTATTAAAAAATAAGTTGAAAAGGTACAACAGATTGTCATATTGTGAATTTCCTTTTAAATAAATTAGGTTAGATTTGAGTCTTGCTTGATTTTTTTTTTTAGATGAAAATACCTGATATAGGGATAGAAATGGAGAGTGGCCCTCTATTTAGTACAGATTGGAGACTAGACAAAATATGAGGATAAATTGGGCTAATTAATTTTTTAATGTAATAGCTTAATCAACAGTTTGTGCCCTCAATTTGGTACCGCAGCAGTGACTGTTTAAGTGAAGTTGTTCTTACCATATGCCTTTGTTACAGATATTCAACAAGTCTCTCCTAGCGAAGTTTACTTGGGCAATGGACGTTGACCCCCAGTTCAGATTCTGATCGTGGTAAGTAATAATTGGTTATCCAAATCAATCTACCAAATAAAAAATAAAATAAAATAAAAAAAACAGAGAGAGAGAGAGAGAGAGAGACCAACCCTTCGTTCTTTTTTCTCCCTTGTTACAGTTTTTTCACATTTTTGTCCTTTTATTCTAGCGATAAGTCAATGTTGTATGTTCGTCTAATCTAATTCTAGGGCGAATTTGCCCTTTCTTCTTCTTCTTGATGCTGTTTAAACCATTTAATTGCAGCAAGAATTGTTTACTTCAGCCTTCAACATTTGGATGCTAACAATATAAATGTAGAGTGTTTCAAATTGAGGTAAATTTATTGGTTTCCCTGTTTCATTTCTTTCTGTATCCTATGTTAAAATGATTCAAACGGGAAGGGTTGAAGAATATAAAACCAAAATCAGGCTTGTTAGAGGCCTTTTGCCATCCTTTACTGCATTAGTTTGATTTGCTTGTTGATGAAAAAGCCTGCCCTTCAAAGGATGTCTCCAGCACTTGGTTTTATATGTAGCTTAAACAACTTGTATTTGCAGACGGCATAGAACAAAGATGCTGGGACGGCTGATGAGAACAACTTTTAACGTGTGATGAACTCATTGTGTTCTTGGTGTTCTTCACGTTGTGATCTTGCGTGTGATGGAGTCCATGTAGTGCGTCATTATACAATTTTGTCTTGAATCTTTATTGAAATCGGATATTTGAATAGGCTAATAATAAGAAGAGATTGTGAGTTGATGTTTGATATGAAGTTAAAATAATTGGAATAAATTATTATGAGTTTTTTTATATATAAAAAAAAATGTAAAAGTTGATTCTCACAATGTTAGGTGTATTTATAAATTGAAGAGTAAAACTTGAATGCGAATGGAAATGGGAGATGCTGGCTTTTTCTATTTTTCAAGGGAAAAATAAATTGGAAAAATTAAATATGTAATAAATGGTTTAAAAAACATGGGGATCAAATATTATAGTTGTTAAAACTATGGGGACTACTTTGATTAATTTTGCTAAAATATAGGGGCTAATTATAGTTGACTTGCACCCCACGTCCAGGGTGTCCTATGTTATTTCCTGCTCTCCTTCTATGCCTTGAACAAAAATTGTTTTGAAACAAAAATTGTTTTGAAAGTTTCAGAAAAAAATTAAGCATTGTAATTAAATTTGATATAAAAGTTAGACTTTAATATTTTTAATTTGGTTTTTTTACTTAACTCGGGTTTTAAATTAAATTGTATTATATTATATGGAAGATACTTGAGATGATTTTGTCAATTTGACAAGTTTAAAAAAAAAAATCAAAGAAAACAAAATAGGAAAAGTTAACCTGTTAAACTTCAAACTTGTAATTTGAATTATAAATTTTATATAAATTGATTTTTTTTATTTTATTATATACTAAAAGAATATAAAAATTAATTTAGTTTTGATTTAATAAAAATATCACAATAAATTATAAAATTTAAAAAATAAAAAAAGAATTGTTATAACAAAAGTGCATGGGCCATAGAGAGACTCAAGTGCATTTCTCAATATTTATTTATTTTTAAAATACATGGAAAGAAAATAAAATTAAGTATTCTAATTAAACTTGATATAAAAGTTAAACTTGAATATTTTTAATTTGATTTTTTTGCTTAATCTCAGTTTTAAATTAAATTATATTAAATTATATGGGAGATGCTTGAGATGATTTTGTCAATTTAACAAATTTATAAAAAAAAATAAAAAAATAAAGTTAATCTGTCAAACTGATTTTTATTTTATTTTATAATATAACAAAAATTATAAAAATTAACTTACCTTTAACTAAATATTAAATGATAAAATTTTAAAATATCACAATAAAATAATAAAGTTAATCTGTCAAACTGATTTTTATTTTATTTTATAATATAACAAAAATTATAAAAATTAACTTACCTTTAACTAAATATTAAATGATAAAATTTTAAAATATCACAATAAAATATAAAATAAAAAATAAACAAAAAATAATTGTTATAACAAAACTCAGGCGTATGGGCAGAGAGATTCATGCACATTTCCCAATTTTATTTGTTTATTTATTAAATAAATACATCTATAAAAAAATAAAAAGTTATTGTAGTATGAATCAAATCTATAATTTTTTATTGGAAAATATATTAATTTAATTAATTTTTTATATAAAAAGTCAAATCAACCCAAAAATTTTAAGAAAACAATAAACAATTAATAAATTTTAAAATTAAAATTATTAAATGAAAAGATTTTATTGACATCAAAGTAGAAGGATTTGCTATAATTACTTACAAGACGTTATAATTAAAATTATAGTGCCTTTAAATTTATAAAAATTTTGGGATATTGTGTGCTATAGAGTAAGTATATAATAATATTAATAAGTTACATAATTAATTACATTATTGAGTAGCAATATAAATTATTATGATAAAATAAATAAAATTATTTAGTAGTTTATAAATTGAAGTTGAGTAATGATCCAAATTGCCATGAAGCAATGATATGGGCCTCAATGACCCAAATCACGCAAAGTCTGATTAACTAAGAATTGGGCCAGGAGTAATGGATGGATGGAGTAATCAGCATCATCGCCTCAAATCCAAATGCAGAGAGAGACAGAAAAGCTGGATCTCGCAAGCCACAGCGAAGCGAGAGCCTGAACAAGGAAGGACAAGAAGCTTCACCATCAAATCCCCAAGTAAGATCCGATACCGAATTTCTTATTAAACAAGTATTTCATCGAGGGTCAGAAAGCTGTCTGATGGAGTTATTTTACAGGAAGAAATCTGGATATCGAATAAAGAGAGATGGGGTTTCTGGTAACGACACTGATTTTCGTAGTGGTCGGAATAATCGCTTCGCTTTGTACCAGAATCTGCTGCAACAGAGGACCCTCCACTAATTTGTATGTTCCATTTCTTCATCACTTCAATTTATTTATTTGTTTTTTTTCTTAAGAAAAAGCATGGGATTCGTGTGATTCAATTAAACTGTTGCTATTGAAAAAAAAGTAGTTACTTGTAAGAGGTTCCCGTATCCATTTAATTGAATTGTAAATGCATTTCCAAATGCAGACTGTTTTCATTGGTGTTTCTGTTGGAATTGATTTTCTGCAACTAATAATAGTATTACGCAGGAGCTTTGTTCAGAATTTATTCTATTATATATATATATATATATATATATATATATATATATATATTTCTAGTATTTTTATATCAGGGGTTACTTAATGCTTGTGACTTTTTAGAATATTTCCTTTATAGGCTAAGTAGTTCTAGTCGGGGACTAAGACTAGGAATCCTGGGGCTTAAACTAATATAAATAGACTGCTGTAATCTCGGTTTTCTACTGCCTCCCTCTCCCCAAACTAGATTAAATAAGAAGCAATAATCTTCCAGTATCTGTTTTAGTCCTTTTGATGTTGTGAATCTGTAATTGCATGTGTCAGTAGTTGGGATTTTGATGAGCAAAATCACTGCTTCCTGTCCAGTTATGTTTTATTTGTTTCCTCAATTCGTGTTGAAAACCCACATTTGATTGTATCTACTTTCTGTTTTTTCACTGGTCTCTGCATATCCAGCTCATCCATCAAGACAACTCCTCCACTGCTTTACATTGCAAATGTCAAACTTTTGGATAGAGGGAAACGTCTTTATAAAATCATAAACTGTCTCTTTGTTTTTTATTGACTAAACGCAAGTGCTTTTAGTTTTATGCTACCCACCTGCATAACATCACACCTTTATGCTTTACTAACCCTGTGCGTGAAGAAACATTTTCTGGGAATGCTCATTCTTTTAGCCTCAATTCAAGTTCTGCATCCATGTTGAAGCATGCATGATACAATTGCTCAATAAGAGATTGCATTAAAGTACTATCCACTACCCATGCATTTTAAGTATCATTATCTCATTCACTGTAAGTAATTTTAATGGTCAGACCTTTGTATTTGTCTGATCTCTTTAATTAGCAGATAAAGAAGGCAGTGTGTGCATTAAGTTAATCAGATTTAATTAAGTGAATACAACTTCTGTACGGTAGCATCTCGTTCCTTTTCTTCTTATGCAATATGGCTAATCTTGGGTTTTTTTCATTGCAGGCTCCACCTAACATTGGTTTTGACAGCAACAGTCTGCTGCTGGATGATGTACGTTTGTATTTGCTTGTTTTTTTTCTTTTCTTTCTACAACTGTTTTGATTTTCCATGTAGAAGGAATTTCATGTATGAGCTTCCATGTCTTCGATATATGTGGTTAGTGTTCAAGCTGCATGCATGCATCCATAAATATAGAAGACTGATGATTATACTAGCAAGGTAATTCGTCAAGATGTTGCAAAACCATGACCATTACACAATATTATCGAGTACAAGTCCTGTTTATGCCTTTTCTCATAAATTTTCCTTCAGGTTGACTGCAGATTTGCCTGTAAATTTCATTCCTTATCAGTAGCTGCTCAGAAAATTATTCATTTTTTTAATCCATTATGTAGTTTAGGTTAAATTAAAACTGCTGGATGTACAAATTTGAGTTTCTTCTCTTCACACATATTTCCTTCTCGGATAGCATAGAATGAGTTGGGAAAGCTCCATTTGCAAACTTTGAGGGTTCTGCTCCTTTACCATTGTAGCAACAATCAGCCTGATGGTAATAGAACCACACATCATGTTGGAGGAGGAACTGCTATCAGTGTCATTCTTCTTTTTTTTTTCCATTTTACCATAAGGAAACATTCATTCTTTTATTCAGTGATATGAACAAAGACACCCTAGTGCTATGGCATGTTTGTAAAATGGCAAGAGTTATGACTTGCATGACTTTTGAGAGGCAGTCATGGAGGAACAAGTTCATGTAGATTAATTGCACCTTCAATGCATGCTTAAGTTTACAAGATTATATTTTTTACCCTTTTCTTTTTTTTTTGTTGGTTGAATAATATTTTCAATCCCGTCCTTGATGAAGGCGTGATGTTCATGATTTTGTTGGAGTAGCAAAAGCATCAATAATCTATTTTATTCAGATTTTGCATTCAACTGCTTGCGCACTTTTTTTCTTTTCCTGGAGCATGGTTGGGAAACCTATTAATTCTATTTTCTTTAAGGTTCTATTTTTTTTATTGAGAACTGTGCTATAATTTTTTATTTGTTGTATGTTAGGTGGGCAATTGTGTATTTAGCACAGATGAAACCTCTCATAGTTCCAATTTTAAGTGAAGGGGAGTGAAGTTATCCCAAATGAGCACGCTGTACCTTTTTGGTAAACAAGCATTGGTTGCTAGAGAGATTATGATTTTATGCTTCAATAATTGTCATGTATCTTCTCGTTTTGGCTTTGTATAATTTTATCAGTGTGGACTTTGATTTTTTCTTTTTCCTTTTATATATTTGTCGTGCATCTCTTTAGCTGCTTCGCAATCTGATTTAATTTAAAACACTTTAGCAGCCTGTCTTTCAGACCTTGCCTACAAAGATGTAATTTGAGTGAAATAATTGCTGCAAAAGAATATAATTGATGAAGATATTTCACCTTTGTACCTTTCAGCTATCTTGTGTGCCAGCTTTAGAGAAGAGACTTCAAATTCTTAGCACACAAAAAGATTCTGAACATAGTATTTCAAACATGCTGAGACATTGGCTGAGCTTCAAGTATATCTGGGAGGCTTTAGTATCATGTGTTTCTGGGTCATTATGATTAAGAAATCGCCACCCAGCAAGACTGTTACTTATGGCTCATCACAGCTTGCGGTAAAACCGCAAAAGACCGGCTTCTAAAAGGGGTGGCTCATCACAGCTTGCGGTAAAACATATCGTACATGTAGTGTTATGTGGTTAAGCACAGCAAAACCGCAAAAGACCGGCTTCTAAAAGGGTTTTATCATCAATCTGTTGTCAATATCATAAATGCAAGGTTTTCAGTAAAATGATGAATATGTCATTAGGTCTGTTATTTATTATTAGATTGTTTCAGGACAGCTTCATCTTTTTATATTTTTAAAGTGCGGTAAAATAACAAGGTTGCACTTAAAAAACACAAATTAGTGAACTGGCATTTAGGGGTTTTTTTGGGCACAATAAAATAATTTAGAAGCATAATTTCTTTAATTTGCTTTAAAGGGTGTTTTTGTATTTTTCACTTGTTTTTGTAGTTATAATTAATTTGACTAAAACATAATTTGATGTTTTAATAAATATAAAATATAATTTAAAAATAAAATAGACTAGCATGCACAAGCGGTGGGTGATGCTAGCGCTTTTCAGATAGTGTGTAAGGTGTCGCATCTTCTTATGATCAAATATTATTTTTTTGTAATGGTATTGAAATTCTTTTGGTGACCGTGTCATTACTAGGTAGTATGTGCAACTTATTAGTTTTAAATTAGCGTTAAAAAAAAAAAATTTTTTTTTTTTCCTTGATTTTTATGTCTGGCCTTTCAAATTTTCAAAGCAGTTCTTTAATTTGTTTTTTTCTTATATATTTGATTCATGTTATTTTAATTACTATATGTTTTATTTGAAATAATTTATAAAATTAGATTTTTTTAATTTTATAATCATTTATTTTTTTTGTTAATTCAGTTAATTTTTTTTTTTGTTAATTCAGTTTTTTTTTATTGTTATTTGTTTTATTTGAAATAATTTTTTAAATGTAGTTTTTTTCATATTAGATTTGATTTTCATTCCCTTAATTACTATCTTATTTACTTTGTTAATTTTTTTAAATTAATTTTTTTTATAATTTCATCCTTCAATATTAAATCGACTGAGAATTAAACTTTTTAATTGAGCCTATGTTTATTATTTTATAGTTTACGAGTTTGGAAAATTAAACTAAATTTAGAAGATTCATCTAGTTTGCTTTGTTTTTTCCCTTTTTTCTAAGCTTATGTTTTTTTGGCTTCATCCTTCAATATTTATTTAATTGTAGATTGGGTTCCATTATTTTTTTATTTTTTTCTATAAGATGTTTCACTAAATTTAAAAATGACTCGGGTTATAACTAGTTTTTTTATCTATTATTTTTCGTTAAATTAAGTTTTTCTTAAAGAAATCATGTTTTTGAATTAAATTAAATTTATTCCAAGTATATATTGACAACGTATTTTTTATAATTTTTTATTGTCATTTTATTTGTTTGCTTTATTTATTGTAGATGCCTTTTTCTTAACCATACTATTAAATTAAATGATTTTATTGAACTCATTCAAGTTAATGATCTAGATCTCAAATGAAATTACGGTTTGAAACATGAAAATAAAAGTATTAATGATTTCCACCAAAAAACTATTAATGTAGACCATACTTATTAAGCATAATTCTCTAATTATATTAATCATAATTTTCTAATTATATGTGGTATTTTATTTTTCCTCTGAACAATCTCAATCTCATTTGATCGTAAAGTTTTTAATGTTGAAAACTCATGATTTTTGATCATAAAGTTTTTAATGTTGAAAACTCATGATTAAAACTAATTTCTATACAGAACTTATCAAAAGTAGTGTTATCAAATTTTTAATTATGTTAATTTTTAATTTTTGATATCACAAAACCTTTTTTTTTTAACTCTTTTGCAAAATCTTCAAAAAGTTTGAAGTGTTTCATCCTTATACGCAAGAAACAAGACCTATTTGTACATAGATGAGGAGGTTAATTACCCTCATTGTATAAAATAGGTGCAAATAGGTGCAGTTAAAGCAATTAGAGTGCCCAAGTTTTTTTAGCTTTAAATGAACATTTCACTTTATCAATTAGCAAATGTCATATTCTTGTATACAATGTTAGGAAAACCTATCACCAAATATTTCTTAGATAGCTTAGAAATCAAACCCATATTAGCATGACCTAGCTTCTATGTCAATACAAAGAGATTCTAGCAATGCATCGAAACACATAACATTTGTTTTTCAAAAAGTTCGCCAAATATTAATCATATAAGGGTTCCAAATTATTTTCTAGTGAATATATTTTTATCCAAATATGTATACTTAAGTAACACAATAATTCAAAAACAACTCAATAATACTTGTTACACAATTACCTTACACTAAGCACATTGTATTCAAGACTATCAATAAGTAAAACATATTATGTTATAGGGGAGTTGTCAATATTGTTGATACCTTCAACATTATCTTTGATATGCCACTAAACACTACATGTCTATTGTGCTTCTTTTTGAAGGATGTGAATTTGAAATATGTTAATAGTCATGTGTCTCAAACATTCATCATCTAAATACCTCTTATTATTCTTTCCTTGTAAAAATAATTTAATTTCTTGATTTTGGTGTTCAAATTTTACGGGTATAGTAAATATATTTTTTCATACCTAAATCATCTTAATATTACCCCAAACTTTCTTATGTGTGCATTTGGATGCAATAAGCTTCTTTTTTTTCCTAGAACTACTACATAGTATTGTGTGTGCATTTGGATGCAATAAGCTTCTTCTTTTTTTTTTTCCTAGAACTACTACATAGTATTAAATAAGTTAGAAATCAATGATCTACTAACAAAGTTTTTATAATGTTTTTTCCTTTTTCATGGCATTGTATTCAAGTGAATTTTCTAAAAACATATCTTATAAGTGTGAGTAATCTGATTATCTTTTTTTTTATGAATTTAATTAAATTTGAATTCAAGTTATTAATATAAGCATTCAAGGATTCATTTTCTTTAGCTGATTTCTTATAAGGAACAAATAAATTAGATATATTAATTGGCATTTTAAGTTATCTTTTAAAACCAATGTTCATTTTGAACAAGAATTCTTCTTTGGTAAAGTCTTGAGATCTTAAGAAATTATGTCAAGGTTCTTTTGAAGACCTTTTTTTTCTTGTATATTATTTTAAAATATCATAAAATACTTTAAAAATAGTATCATAATATCATTAATGAAGCTATTTTCCATTAAACACATCATTCGTGAGAGGATAACAAAGTTATAAACAACCAAATAGATTTGCTAGAATTATAGTGTTTGTGATGGAAACCAGAATTATTGTGGTAACAAAGTAGAATAACTTGAAATATTAAATGTTAAATTAAAATATATAAGTTAAAGATGTTAATTTGATCAAAATATAAAGAAAAATAATGTGATATATACTTAGAAAAATATATTATTTATAATAGTAATTAAAATCTTTATAATATTATTTGTACATTATAGGTTCTTCACAAGTCATGCTGGAGTATTAGGTTTTAGTGTAGTAAGTTTTAAATATATATATAATTAAGTTTGAGTTTTTTGATAGTAAGTTTTAAATATATATATATATATATATAATTAAGTTTGAGTTTTTTGTGACATGTATGTAACATAACTTTAATATGGATGTTATAAGCTTTTAAATAGGATAAGTATTTGTAGACAATATTGTGTATGATATGTTGACTAATATATATTAATGAAGTATTTTAAGTAGATGAGTTGTGTGTTTACTTGTAAATTTTACATATTTGTTTTTATTAAATACATGTTTGGTGATAATTCATGTTTTACATTCCTTCACTTATTTTGTAATATATTTGTTTGATATTAAGAAACAATATTTGTATATGGCTAGAACATTAAGAATGGAATTGAGACGAGATATGATCCAAGATGATTGGATGAAAGATAAAATTTGAGATTGAATGCGTGATTGAAGTAAATGTCGATAGCTTGGTATGCTTAAAAATTGGAAAAACTTTGCTAAATTTTTAGCAAAAACTTGCAAAAAAACAATTCATAGTTTATCAAATAATTGAGAATGTTCATGATATATATGATATTTAAATTTGATGATGTTACAACAGGTGACTTGAAACAATTTATTGAAAGTATCTTTGAACCTTTTAGCCCTAAGTCTTGTTACTAAATCAACTAAAACCTTTAACAAGTATCTTGGTGTTATTTAAATTGCATCATTCCCTCTCTTCTCAAAATCATTCATCATCGAATCATCACCTATTTTAAATTAAAGAGAAAACAGAAACATTGAATGTGGCACTAATATCATACTTACCTAGTAGATCTACTTTACAGGCATTATTAATCATTTTTTTTATGATTTGAAAAGATCATCTACTCGAGACATCAAATTTCGATCTCTTTTGTTCAGGAAACATTTCCTTCCTCATATGCACTCAAATTTAATCTCTTATTTCAAACTTTGCTAATTTGCATCTTCTATTAGCCTTAAATGTATATTGCTCGTTGTTTTTCTCTATTTATTGTCATATCTTTACATGTAAATTTTTTACTATTTATGCTTTTTTGATACTATCATGACTAACCATTTTACAATATGTAAAGGAATCAAATATAATGGTGTTAAATAATTAAAACCATAAACAATCTCAAATAGTGAATAATTAATAGTAGAATATATATTGTGATAATATGTAAATTCAATAAATGACAAACAATCTTTCTAATTTTTAAGATTTTTTTAAATGATAGCTTTTAATAATTTAGTTGAAGTTCTATTTTCTACTTCAGTTTAACTATCCATAGAAAATAAAAGTTTATTTCTTAACTTACACCACAAAA